AAAAACACTAATGTCATGAAAGACAATAAAACCCTCTGCCATGGGGTCAATTCCCGCTATAGTGACCCTGTATAGATAGGGTTTCTGAAACTAGAAATCTTTAAAGGAGCACACGGTTGCTAGGTTTAAACAGCTGACCAGCTATGTAGTAGCAGTCCAGCTCCTTAAGAGAGACAATAAAAGAGTGATAATCTCCAAAAAGACCAAAAGTGTCACTAAATGTAGTACATTATCTCGAGCCACGTCAAAGATTTAAAAAAAAATCTGTAAAGAAGATGAACAAAAAATCCCTGGAGGTACTTACTTTAGGACAACCAACCATCTGAGATCAAAGCGGCAGTGTTGCCCAGGGATAAGTCTCAGAAAGCAGGGGAGAAGAAGGACAGATGGACCACTGAGAATGGTAAACACAGGAAGAACAGTTACCTGGGAAGACTGCTGTTAAATTGTGGGGATTCCAATCAGTGTCCAAAAACATGTATAAATTACTGAGTGGAAAGGCATTTTCTCTGTAAACTTTCACTCAAACCACAATAAAAAGTTAAATAAAAAAGCTATAAAGAACATTATTATAGAAGTTTGAACATGGACTATAGGTTATATGTATATTTTTGGCATCAGTGTCAAATAACTTGGTGGTGATAGTATAGTTAATAGGATGTTTAATTTGCAGTAAAAACATGCCAAGTGTCGTGACACTGAATTCACTGCCATTAAGTGAATGCAACAGGGCATAACTGTAGCTGTGGATGTCCAAAACGGTAACTGGAGTAGAAAGACCCATCGCCTTCCCTTGTAGTGGCTGGTGATTTCTAACTATTGACTTGGCTGATCGCAGCCTAGCGTGTAACCTAGGCATTATCACGGCTCCTTAGTATCATGATAACTTAGTTAAAACGGTTACATTTAGGTAGGAAGGAAGAAGACCTCTAGAGAAATGAGGCAAATGTGGCAGAATGTTAACTGGAAATCTAGATGGCAAACTCAGTTCATTGCCATCGAGTTGATTGCCACTCAGGGAAGAGCTGCAGGTGGGTTTCCGAGGCTCTTTGTCAGAGTGCAAAGCCTCATTTGTCTTCCACTGAGCTGCTGCTGGTTTCAAACTGCTGATGTTCTGGCCCAACACATACCCATGATTATTTATTTTGCTGGTTTTGTGGACTTTTTATTTTACTATTATTTTTTAATCACTTTATTGGGGGCGCATACAACTCTTATCACAATCCATACATCCATCCATTGTATAAAGCACATTTGTACATTTGTTACCCTTATCATTCTCAGAACATTTGCTTTCTTTCTTTCTTTTCTTTTTTTTTTGTGGCTCAATAAACTTTTATTATTTATTTTTATTCTACATTTGCTTTCTACTTGAGCCCTTGGTATCAGCT